CCCCTGATGAGTATTTTTTATGAATCTTAATACCAACCGTACTGTGCGCTTTCCAGGGATCCTCTCCAGCGTCTTGTTTAGATTCTTTACTGAATTGCTGTTGTTCACGTCTAGTTCTTCATTTGTTACTTTTGTTTTGCTGATTGTTTTTTCTATTGGTCGTCTAGTGTAGCCACTCTTTCTGAGAGCTGTACGAGTTAAGTCAGTACCTTTCGAATACCGATGTCATGTGAGCTGAATTGAAAACATTTGCTGGTTAGAGTGCTAGCCATGCTCTTTTTCAGAAAATATGCGTGATGCGAATCGACCTGTTACTATAATAGTAATATTGCACGTTTTATATTTTGCGAATTTCTGATCGATGAAATTCCTCAGTTCAAGTTTCGCCCGGTTATTTGTTCAGTATATGTAAGGTCAGCGGAACTGTGAGATTTTTTTATATCGTTGGTGCAGATTCATTTGCTTTAGAGCGATAACCACAAACGCGGCCCAAATCATTTTGATCGTTGTTGCTTTGACTATCGACATCTAAGGCTAATATTGTTTCAATATCTCTTCAGCTCAGATATCCATGTAATCATAGCGCATGACGTCGCACGTGCGCAAGATACTGAATGCATATCCGGTTGGATATCACTCTGCCTTATCAACCAGCCAGATCCTATTGTATTATTGTCACGAGTAGCTATAAGTAGAAAATTTTTGGCTCTCTGTTAGCAGCCGTGTGCACGCGTATCGACATGTCGATATGAAATGCCACTGTCCGTGGTCCTTTCAGAGATGTGCCGACATTCCATGAAGGAAAGGAAAGTTTCCAGACCAGTTTCGATTTGATACAAAATCAGTGTACCATAATTTTGCTTCCTGTAAATGTAAATAAGTTGATTAAATTTATTTGCTTGAGAAAAAAAGATTGCTATTAGAATACGATCGTCTCGTCACTCGGAATCAACTTTTGACATAAGGCAAAATAACAAACATACTTCGACTCTTAGTGTCTGTTGGATAGACTGTGTGCGATTTGATTCTTGACTTCTTTTTCCATCTGCTTGAGATCGCTGCTGATAAGAGGAAACACCGATCTTTGATATAACTCACATTGAGTGTGACATGAGACGGTAGGCTGTAGTAGTCGCAAACTGTAGATGCTTAGAAACAACGACGAATCACTCGCCCATAGCTGATTGCGAGAATACGGACATTGGGTCCTTGCAGAAGTATGCGGGAGACGATTTCCTAACGATACAAAGTTTTTTTTCATTTTTACAGAGGAACAGTCTT